ATATCTTTGTACACTTTGCTCTCAACTATCTACACAGGTAAATTATTTCTTAATTAACAAAGCCAATTTTATTAATAAATTTGTGCTGCTAATAAAGCAGCCAACTCGAATGAAGTTCTTGCCTAAAACTTCCAAGATCCCAATTAACGCATGATTAAGTTCAAGCGGGACAGGCATTCAGGTTTTTGTTTCTCCTAAATGTGAAAATTACATCTGTGATTACCAAGCATTTCATTAAAACAGTGTCCTTTTTTCTGTCTCTTAAAGCTTGCAGGAAGACAATGAGATAATACTGACATGCATGGAGAGAGATCTATCATGCAATTAGCTAAATGTAACAGAGAAATGGTGTTAAAAAGGCAACTCAGAACTGTCTGAACATTAAGATTATTGGCTGTACATTTGAGTAAATCTATGAAAAAAAGGCCTAGAAAAACAAAACTCTCTGATCTTAACATGTTTCATGCAGAAATCCACTCCAAAGGGGAGTCAAGAGTTCATAGCAAATTCATACTCATTTCGTCTGGCAATTTAACCAGCAGACACTGAATCCAGCTCAGCCCGGGACCAGATGGTATTCATCCAGGACTTCTAAAGGAAATAGTAAAATTATTAAACATTATATGTAATCTCTTACTTAGAACTACGTTGTTGCCAGATAAAAAGAATTGTGCAAATGTGATGCCAATATTTAAAAGGGGCTTCAGGGAAACTAAAGCCTTGGAATTACGAGCCAGGCTGTAAGCCTGGCACCCACAGAAGGAAAACTGATGGAGACGGTAATAACAGATAAAAATCTCTGGACAGATGGTCTTCACAGGTTTTGTAGAGGAAAGGCACACCTTGCAGATTTTGAGATTTGAGCATGTAAACAAGAGGATCCAGTTTGTCTCAGGCAGTATCTACACAGTTGTTGAAATCCTCACAAGACATCATTCCCTCACTCAGTCCATGCTTGCTTTTGGTTGAAATTGGTACCCTCTGGTGTCAGTCATTGCTCAGTACTTATCCTTCAACCTTTCATGTCTATGCTCTACACGCTCCCACCACTACGCTCTCCACTCATTTGCTGTCTGCACAGTACGCGACTATGCCAAGGGGCTTCACAAAGCAGACTGCATCCAAGGCAGTTTGGTCTCTTTTGGATTTCTGCTGACCACATGAAGCCTCTGGCCATGGCTGCTGGCCTCAGACTTCCATCCTTTGGCATGGGCTTAGGAAGCATGACTTGACACTGGAGTGGGCCCATACCTTGGGAAGGGGCTAAGTGAGGGGCTCCCACTGTTCAGGGGAAGCTGGTCCTTCACACCTTCCCACATACAGTTGAGACCGATGTGAGAGACATGCACTGTCTGTATAGTGTCTGTTGTAACGACCTGCAGCCCTGGCCAGCCTCTCACCCCCCTGAGAGCAAGGGGGTTAGTGGGACCATGCAGTGGTATGTACCACTGTACCACTGATGACCAGCTGTGTCCAGGACTTCCAGAGGTGAGGAAAGTTCTGCCAAGTCCTCCACAAGAACCTACTGCTCTCTGACAGTTCAGTCTTCTCCACGTGGCACAGTCATGGCAGGCTTTTTTACACACAACCTGCCACTGCCACCAGTGGGCTTGCATTGGGAAGATTTGAATGGCAAGGGGTGAAGCCATCTGCTCACATGTAATGTGAGACAATAAGGACAACAAGCTTGACGAATGTCATCGGAATTTGCACACTAGATATTAGTATGCAGGAAAGAGACTACTGAATTTATGGTAGATTCTTGCATGAAAACATCAGTTCAATTCTCAGTAGTCATAAAAAAAGGCAAATGGAATTATAAGAATTATTAGGAAAAGAACAGAGGAAAAATCAATACAAAACCTCAATATGCCATTATTTAAATCCTTGGTTCATCCTCATGCATTAGCATCTGTGAGAAACTGTAGAATAACTAGAACATACTTTAGACCTGGGCCACGATGCTCATGGAAGGTATGAAACCACTTGTTCACAAGGAATGAATAACCAATCTGTGTTCTTCAGATATGACAAAATCATGGCAGGTACAGAGAGGTTAACTTGAGAATGATCATTCTCAATGATCTCTGTCATGACACAGGATACAGTGCAATAGCCCCAGTGTAATCTCTTTGATTGTAACAATCTCTCTACTTGCCTACCCTCCTGATCACTATCTGTGTCTCCCTCAGATCTCCATTCACTCTGTTTCTTCTCTTCTTTCTAACCAGGTCCTGGAGACTTCATGAAAGACTACGCAACCCAGTTCGGCAAGCACAGCAGATGATGACAAGTGCATAGTCTCAGATATCATATGATATCTGACATCATAAATAAAACCCAATCTCTCTGTTTAGTATAACTAAAGTATAGTTCTATATATACATATATGTATATACTATGTATATAGTTTAGTATAACTATAGTATAGTATAGTTATGTCTTCATGGTACAGGAATAACCGAGCTAAAACCTATCAGAACACCAGCAATTAACCCCTCACTCTGAAACTACTGTGGTATGACCAGTATAAAAACTGTAGATGAAAAATGAATTGAGAGAATTCAATCCCAAATTACAACACATCTCTGGTAAAAAGTAAGAGGAAAAACCGCTAATATCAGCCATTCAACACAACTGAAACTGATTTCTCTAATGCAGATGTAATAGAAGGTACCAGGAATCCAGAAAGATCTCTTCCACATTAAGAATAAGCCCAGAACAACGGTTTGACATCTTGTTTACAGAAGGACTCGAACTTCATTACAGGCTGTTTAATTCAGTAAAGGAATTGCTAAACACAATTACCAAGGCTGTGTTTTGCAGCAGGTCAGACCATTATAATAATTATAAATAATTATAATAGCTTCTTTTGATACAGAAAGGTCTCTTAAAGCTCAAAATCATCTGGATTGAATGCTACTTTATGACAGAGGAAAACATTATAAAATTTAAAGACTTCATTGAAGTGAGGCGCATACAGATACAGAAAGCAGGATCAATATCCCAAATGTAAAGGACACCTTAGAAAGGCAGACAGGCTATAGAATTTGGTCTGAGTTGGTTTGCTGCTGATTTTTCTTCTATAGAATGTAATTTTCAAAGAAAAGAGTTGCTGTTAACCAGAAGTTTCGGCAGCTTAGACAAGCCTGCCTCTTGCTGTTGTCTATGAAGAAGAACAAAAAAGCAACCTAAGTTCAGCAGTCCTTTCCAAAAAGCATCTGTTGTTACCTTTCTTGTGCATTACCACTACTAAATAAGTACCTGCCTTGGCTGCCATTTCAGCTCTTTGAGTATTAGAGTAATTTGAAATTGTTGGAGAAAATGTTCAGGAAATACTGGAACAATTACAAATAAATTCAAAACTAAACCAAAAAAATATTCTATGAGTAGTTAAATGGGCAATGTTTGTCATTTCATAGAGGGGTTGATTAGTAACACCCATCAATTTGATCATAGAAAACATATTAAAAAATTAAAGCTGAATTAGACAGCTAAGAGAAAATCAGGTTTTCAGAGACACTGGTACCTAACGTTCAAGCTTACTTCTCAATCAATGCAAAATGGAAAGATATTTTAACTTTTATTTCTTCAACATGATTTTCTCCCATTTTGAGATTCACGAGTGGAAAAATAAACCAGAACATGTCATTCTGGATTCATTTCCTACCAGTGTGTTATACCTTTGAAACTGGAATTGAGTCCTGCTGCACTGAATGTTTTCTTTCAGCTGAAACAGCTACAGATTGTACAGGCTGGTTGCCAGTTTGAGTTATTTTGTCTCAGATTTTTAAAACCTGCAAGAATCTGTAAAAGAAATGGAAACAATATAATTAATCTGCTAAAGAAAAGATAATTTAGAAATTAGAACTTCAGATGTAACTTTTCTGTCTGCTCTCCTACATACCCATTCCTGTTAACGGTGCTATAAAACAAGGCTGGAGAGACTGGAAAAGGAATCCAGGCCTTCCAGTCTGTGTATATCAACTTTAAGGGGTCCAAACCTGTTATTAGGAACCTGTTATTGCTCTGTCTAACTAGAAGAGATACTTTAAAGTTAGATTTGTTTTCAATTGAGTTATAGTAGGGATTCATTTATAATATTAATTCACGTTTTTGGCTACAAACAAGCTGTATACTGAAGGTTAAAAGCCCATGATTTCATGGAAACAACAGAGAGGACGATGTTTATGTATTCAAAAAGCAGAACTCGGAAGAAAGCGTTTCTTTTAAACAATCAAGATTGTTGCATTTTACACTAATTCATAACTAATGTGTCAGAGTTTATCAGTTCATCAAGTTTGTATTCCAGTTGTATACAAGTCCTTGCACTGAGAAAATGTGTAGGCTTTTGCTCATATTGACCGACAATTCTAGTATGGTACTTTCGTAAGGTTTGATCCAAGAACATTGAAATTAGTGAGTCTTTCTATTGACTTACTGGGTTTTGGATCAGGCACGTACAGCGCTTTCATATGAAGTTAGCACTTCACCAATTGAGATAAATGTTCCAGCTCTTGTTTTTCTGAGCTATCCAGTCTTCAGTTTGCTCCAAAAAATGTGAAGATAAGAATCGTTTTCACAAAAGGCATGCAAAATCTTCACTACGTTTTTCTCTTCTGTGCCCTTTTATTCAGCTACTCTTACCGCTGTTAACGTTGTCGGTCGAGAGACTGATTTATCACTCTCATCACTCACTGGTTGTGATTTATTGGCCACGGTAATACAGACTCCCTTTGAGAAATATTGCAGAGACGTGAGCAGAAGCAATCTTGCAAGGGGTTAATGCTGTAATCTTTTTCTAGCCTGTTTATAATCCCAACAGTAGGCCAGTAACAGAAGAGGGTGGATCTCAAAAAGTACCGGAGGGGATGTGTGCGTGTGTGGATGGGAGTGCATACGTGTGAGTGTGTATGTGCACGCACACTTGGCTTTTCTGAACTGCCTTGTGTGCCCCAGGAATAAATCTTGTTCAGCCTGAACAGGACTCTGTGCCGGGTGTTCCTGACGGAGACAGTTAGAAGAGCTGCCTCTCTTGTATTTCTCCTGCAGATTTCATTTAGAAATGTATCTGTTTACTGAAGGAATGGGCAGATAGTTACAAACCCACCCTCTTCTTCATCAAAGCTAACCTGTGGATACTGAAGAATGGAAATAGTTGATGCTAACTTCCTCGGGAACGGTACCAATATTACTGCTTTCCTGTGTGATATCATCGTAGAAAATGACACTTTTTTCTGTGTGGACAATCCACCTTATTCTTCTAAAGGTATGTAGAGAAAACAGATTTTTTCAGGCAGCTTTAGTTCCAGCTGGAAGGAGAGATGCTATGGAAAGAAACACGAGGCTTTTTCTGACAGTGAGTGCAAAATCCACTGCTTGCTGATAAGTTAGGATGAGGAACGGACAGGAAAGAATTTAGCATGTGCTGGTTTTCCAAGTTAAAAATTCAACTAGAACAAAATATGGATGTAATGGGAAACGAAAACAGTATCGCTATTGGGTACAAAATGCAAACAGCTCTGCTAAGGACTTGGGTAACATGGTTTTTACTCTTTAAGCAATTGAATAACCATGGAATTATCTGATCTGATACCACTTATGAAAGTGATTAAATACGAAATTATAGCACTCTGAGGGTGAAAAAAATCATCCATGTATTAAAATATTTTTGATTGCTGTATCATTTCTTAATTTTGCATAAAAGAGGAACTCCCATGGTGAGTAAGTGGTACGCACTAAGCAGCATCAGCAAAACTGCTTTTAAGAAGTTGTATTTGGCTCTCCAAACGTACATTATGTTGCATGTATTGTATTTTAATGTTATGCAGTTCAGGCAGATCAGAATATGTTGAAGTATTTCAGAACTTCCACTGATTTTGCATTGATGTAAAGATATAAACCTTAGTAAAACCAAATATAGAAAGGGCTTTTTACCTTTTGAGGAAAGGGTGAAACATGTAATACTAGTCTATGAGCTGTATACTGCAGAACTGATTTTTCCTTGTGACAATTTTCAGATTTGCATCAGATAATTCGGATTCTGCTGTATTGTTTGATATTCCTGCTCAGCATTTTGGGGAACATTCTCGTAATTACAGTGCTGATAAGAAACAAGCAGATGAGAACAGTCACCAATACGTTTCTGCTGTCACTAGCAGTCAGCGACCTGATGCTCTGCCTTTTCTGCATGCCATTCACCCTCATTCCCAACCTGCTGAAAGATTTTATTTTTGGTAGCGCCATTTGCAAAACTGCCACTTATTTCATGGGTAAGTCTTGGAAGTTTATACTTATTTCGAAGACAGACTAACAAGATAGGTGAGAAGGTCATTAAAGACCAGTAAAAAGCTGATTGTTTCCATCTGCCATTGAACCGTTACCAAAATCACGAAGAAACAACTTTGTAGTGTGAATCTTCATGGTTCTGGTTTCCTCGGTCTGATCCAGCAAAACATAGGGCCACCGCTGAATTTTAACAACACACAGGAGTGCTTTGCTGGATCATGTTAAGTGAGAAGTATGTCGCATGAGCAACTTTAACGAGGAACCCGCCACATGCACTTGCTTACCCATCACTGATGGAGTTATTAGCAGTGTTCAGATCACTCATCAGAAACGACAGGGTTGCACAGCCCACTACGGGCAGATTTTGCCGACAGATTTTTGGTAGCAGTGATACATGAAAAAAAATAGGCCAAAGTAGGTGTCATTTGCGGAGCTGGAAGTTAGAGCAAGTGCTTTTTGAGAGCAGACCTGGTGTGATCAGAGCTCACCAGGAGATCACAGAATACAGATACGGGTTTTAGAGGCTGACTTTAAGCACCAGCACTTTTGTATGCCTTGCCTTACCCTGTTTGATTGCGGAGCCAGGATTATGTATTTCTGTGTAAGTGATTTTGTCTCACTTCCACTGTGCATTTGCTTATTTCTTAAAAAAAAAAAAAAAAAAAAAAAAGAGAGAGAGAACATTGTGTAGAGGTTTTGCTACCTTGGGAGACCCTTGGTTAACTACAGAAACTTTAGCTCCCCTTTCAACTCGTGTCCTTGAGAACTTTGATGTAATGTACACAAAGTGTGCGAATGGGAAATCAACATCTTTTTGTAGATAAACTCAGTAAAACTAAAGGCCATGTTTAAACAATTCTAATGAATTACTGCCATAAATACGACAAAAAATTACTGAAGCGTTGTCATCCTCCTCTTATTTCACCCTGTATAGATTACTTTATGAAAAAATCCAGTGAAATATTTTCAAACATGATGGTTTTTGTTATGAAAATGTTTTATTTTAAGAACCAGAATGTGGATATTTCCCATTAGCAATTCAGGTTAATAGAGGCTTCTGTCGTCAAACAGACACTGACATCCATTGTATCACCTATGCTCTTAATCTCTCACGTTACGATGTAGGAAGACTTATTTTAAATTACAGATAAATTGTGTAAAGCAAGCTGTAAAGATATTGGCATTTTATATTTTGACCCACATTAGAACATTCACGAAGGCTATTAAATGAAAGCTCATTCAGTGAAATAAAATTTGTGACAAAGTTAAGAAGAAATATTTATAATCTTGCAGTGATAAACTAGGGCACCTCAGTGACAGAAATACAGACTGCTGTGTTATATTTTATAATAGATGAACAGGAGAAATTAAGGGCACTTGAAGGACAAAGATCTTGTTTCATGACTTCATTTCTCCTGCTTTGTAACTCCTTTAGCATCTAATTAAAAAAGTGGTAACACATTTAATTCTCTTGAATGAGAAAATCAGATCACCAGTCAAGCAGGGCACTTAGAAAAATTAAAACAATAGAAGAGGGACTATGAAATTCTGTATTAAAAGTATAATTAACAGCATAAATCCCACTGATTTCAAAAGCTTGTTTGAATTTCAGTGCAATTACTGAAGTATATAAACCACAGTAGCAAAGAGAAGAATTAGGAGGAAAAGAGTCTTTTCCCTGTTATCAGAATGTCATAGTTTGAAGAATGAATCTTTTATCTTAGACTTCTGGAGTTAGAGAAGCAGAGAGCAGAACCATCAGTCTGGAGACTTAGACCTATTGCCCACACACTCTTTGCTGACTTAATCAGTATGATATTTATAAATATTTTAGATTATAAATAGCTTAGTATATTTTTAATGTTATATATGCACACAGAAAGTTAGCGAGACTGTTTGAAAATAGTATGAACATTTAAAACAAGAGAATAACCTCTTTCTTTGTTTTATATATATAGGTGTCTCTGTAAGTGTATCTACATTCAACCTGGTTGCCATATCTCTGGAGAGATACAGTGCCATTTGCAAACCTCTGCAGTCCAGGGTCTGGCAGACAAAATCTCATGCCTTGAAAGTGATTGCTGCTACCTGGTGTGTTTCCTTTACTATCATGTCACCATATCCAATTTACAGCAAACTGGTACCTTTTACCAAGTATAACAACACCACAGCAAATATGTGTCGGCTCCTTTGGCCAAGCGATGTCATTCAGCAGTCTTGGTAAGACATAACCAACTGTTAGCAAATGTATAATTGTCCAGTGGAAAAAATGGGATTTCATGATAGCATGAAGACTATTGAAAATCAAGTATTAACCTTCAGCAAACATTTACTCTTCTATCGTGCTTATTTGAGTAGTAAAAAAAAAAAAAAAAATTTAAGCTCCTTACGTTTTGACACTTGCATGACTTTTCCCAACATGGCAATGATTCTCACACCGCGGTCTGCTAAGCCCCTACTGTTGCCGTAAAGAAAGCATCTGTCACTCTTCAAGTAGGAATGCTGCTCTCACTTAAGTTTATACATAAACTTAAATATTTTCAGAGAAATCCTTGGTTAATCTTTGAAAAGCCCGGACACATGCAAGTGTCCATCTGTGTGCAGAATATAAAAACTTTAAGAGATTGCAAATGCCTTTCCTGAGAACGGAACCCTTTTGGTGGTCATTTACATAGAATAGGGACAGAGAGATGAAGGGAGAGATGGTGCTCCAAGTCCTACACGTCCAGGCAAAGTAAACAGTAAAGCTATCAAGCAGCAATATTATTTAGACATTGCGTCCTTTCACGATGACTAAACACTCTGGCATTGCGAAGACATAATATTTTTTTGGCTACTGAAGGTCAATTGGAACTAGGAACAAGATTAAAGTATGTACCACCTCAGGATGGTGTATCCACAAACATGACAAATTGGTTTTATTGCTTTCGGTAGTGCCAGCTATTTGCCAGTATGAGTACGGATGAGGAGGGAGGTTGCAGGGTGAAATTCTCTTCTCTGTGGTGTTGTCACAGATTCCCAGGCGTGTTAGTGAGTTTGCACCAAAGTCCCGGAGAGCAGAAGAGTTGTAGGCTTGTGAATGCACTTAAACAGAATTATTTCCCCAACTTGTAATCACATTGGAGAAGCTGCCTAGGAGAGTAACAGATGTGCAACCAGGTAAAAGCTGCTTCCTTTAGCAAAGCGGTTGCCGGCTGTGGAATCCCTCCCAGGGGCTTTGCATGGCCCCAGGGATGAAAGAAATCCCAGGTCGTGGCTGCTCTCTCCCTGCCCATGTGTGCCACGACCCTTGGCAAGTCAGATCTCACTGAAGTAGTGACCACCAGTACCAGGGGCTCCTTTGAGAATCAGCAGCTCCTCATTTGGCTCCTGCAAGGCAATTTTTACATCATTCAAAACTACAGGGCATCCAACGCTCCTCTAGTTACAGCAGAGAGCCCCACTTCATGGGCAGATACCTTCTATATTGTCTAACCACTAAAGGAGAGCCTTTCCCCTCTGGGCCTTTGGAGGTTGGGTGATGGATGTTTTGCAGCCATGATAGCCTTGTTCCTGCTGTACTAGAGGAAAACAGAGGAGAAGAGGTAGGAAGCTTTTAATTTCCAGCGCTGCCAAAATGATGTTTCGTATCAGCACGAAAAAAATTCAGAAAAATCTTAAAATCCTGCCCCTCCTCCCCAGTTCTCACCTGGAGAAAAAGAAGTTTTTCTGGATTTGTCCTGTTCTCTGGTCTCAGTTTGTCTTTTAATTCTTTAGGTACACTTTCCTCCTGCTCATACTCTTTCTTATACCTGGGATTATAATGATGGTCGCATATGGTCTAATTTCTTTGGAACTCTACAGAGGAATAAAATTTGATGCCAGCCAGAGAAAATCTTCACGAGGTAACAATACTTTTAGGTTTGTTTTGTTTTTTTTTTTAAGTTAGAGTTGAAGATACAAGTGGTGATCCTGAGGTTACTAAAAGCAAATATCTCTATTTGCAAAAATGATCATTATGGTCAGTTATGGTTGTGAACCTGACAGATACATTTGTTGATTGAAGTTATTCTGTTATTCACTAGCAAATAATTCCTCACCTATGGCTTGTTTACAAAGACTCTGGGCAGGATACATTAAATTTCTGATTTGTTTATTATAGAAATACCGAGATTTTTTTTTTGCGGTTGTGGATGAGGACAATTTTTGTCAATAAAGACCACAATAAAAATTGTCAAATTAAGATAGCAGCATAGAATTTTGAAAACTATCTTCAGTGAATACTTGAGCAAACAATATTCTTACATATTTTGCATGAAGTTGTGTAGAGTTAAGATGTAAGAATATTGGGAGATAGCGGACACAGAGCAGCTGGTACATGACTGACTCAGAAGTAGGCCAGTGCCGCCTTTGCAGCGGTCGTTCAGTTGTGAATTATGTTATAGACTTAGACTTAGACTCCATTCTTTGTTTTTTTAAATTTTGAATCACTGTTCAGAGATATCTTACCAACTATTCAAGCACTAATTTATGTGTGCAGAAAGAAAAACAAGTACCTGCAGCGCCAAATACGAGGATGGAGATGGATGCTACCTCAACAAAACCAAAAGAAAAAGGAAAATGCCGTTGCAACAGCTCTCTTCTACTAGCCACAGCAAAATAGACAGGGTGAGAAGCAGCAGTTCTTCTGCCAACTTAATGGCTAAGAAACTAGTCATCCGCATGTTGATGGTGATAGTGATTTTGTTTTTCCTTTGCTGGACTCCCATCTTCAGTGTCAATGCCTGGCGCGCGTTTGACACTCCTTCAGCAGACCAGCATCTCTCGGGGGCTCCTATCTCCTTCATCCACTTGTTGTCCTACACTTCTGCCTGCGTGAACCCTATCATATACTGCTTTATGAACAAGCGTTTCCGCACGGGTTTTCTAGCTACTTTCACCTGCTGTGCAAAGCAAAAGCCCCCTGCAATACGGGGAGAGGTTGGTGATGAAGAGGAGGGGAAGACAACAAGGGCTTCACTCTCCAAATGTTCTTACACACACATGAACGCATCTGCACCCCCCTGAGCTGTGCCAGAAGAGGCAACAAGTGGCCCACAGAAATTCAATGATCTGTCATCTGATCTCAGAAAGTGACTGTGGCATCAGCTGAACATGATTTAGTTCTGAGGTAATGAAACACTTCAGCTGACAGTAAACGCAGTGAGGATTTTATGGGAAATGGATGCTATCACCGTCTGAGCTTTATATCACTTTCCCTTCAAAAGTACAAAGCAGGAAGAGGGCTCTTTGAAGATAAGGGACTTTACAAAAAGCCTTAGAAGGTGCTCTATGTGTCAAAAATTCTCCTGTAAAAATTGGTGTCCTTCACATCAACAGTCTCACTCAGTTTTTGACTGCAGTTCTGAGTTATCTCTTAAAATTTCTGAGACGCTAATAGATTCTCCTCAAACATGAATACACGTATTGCAGTCTTCTCTTCCATAGCTATGCCTCATAATCAAAATCTTTCAGTTACATTTGTAGTATTTTTCACATTATTTTAGCTGAGCTAATACATGTTGAGATCATTTTGGTGTCACAGTCAATTAAAAGAAGAATTTTGGGGTGGGGAGAATGGGCTTGTCCACATGAAAGTAATGCATTTAAGTGAAATAATTTAATCCTTTTTTATATATATAAAATTAAAATAAATATTGGTGACTTTGTGAATGAAATGCATTCTTCACTTAGGCAATAACCTAAATTAATATAATTTAATGTATTTTTTGTTTAAATAAACCCCAAGAACAAGCACAAAGAAGTGGCTTTCTTCTGTGCAGCTTCAAGCATGCACACGTGCAAGTGGCAGGGTCTTAGATGAGCCTCAAAGGCTCACATGGAAATTGTCACACTGGGAAGCACAGGGATAAACACTTGGGATAAAGAGAGAGAGGTGGTTTTACAAAAGACAGAGGATTGAAGACGTAAGATGATGCCCACGCCAGTCACACAGTTCACAAATATATTCACTGCCAGTCCCAGCACGGTACTGCCCACATGGAAGTAGAAGCCATTGGATGTAGAAAGGCAGCAAGCGCAGACACAATGAGCAAAGGTTGAAAGACTTTGTCAGAAAATACAGTTTTTCTAAACTTTGGAACAACTCTTTTCTCCAACTACACATACTTATAAACAGACTCAACATAGAAAAAAAAATTTGAATGATGTAATTATTGGTGGTTTATTGAGCAAGGAGTCCAGCCTCTTTCCTGAGCAGCGCACAGGTGAGCGTGGGTGTTTAGGTCATGCCCTTTGCTCTTGGACCTTGGCAGGAAAAGTTATATCATTTATTTTATTTTGTGAAAATATCCTGTTGGAGATGCTTCTATCTCCTAGCTGAATCAATATCATTCAAAAAATTTGTTATTAGACAGAGATTAAATGTGAGCACAGTGTGGAATGTAGATGTGGATATTAAACATAACCCCTCTCAAGCTTTTTAATCAGGAAAATCTGATCTCTTAACAGAATGATTTTAAATTGGAAATATAGTCTGATTTCCAGGCACCCAGATCCATGTTCTGCTCTCAGTTATTGCCTGAAATGGTTTACTCGTATAACTTAGCACACAACTTCGGCTATTATTTTTTTTGCATCCAGCTTTTCCACAGACAGGAAATTAAAAACCAATTCTAAACGCGATTTATGCACAACCCACAGAAGCAATGTTTTGCCTGCCATGTTAATGAAGTAGCACCCTTCCTGGAGCGGGGCTGAGACTGCTGACATCGATCTGACCTTTTGCAAATACTCACCAAATTAAATGATGAGATTTAATTCATAACAATGAAATGAAAACTTTATTTCACTTAAGGATGCAGGATGAGCCCCTCTACAAACCTGTCCTGCGTGTTGAAACTGAAGGAACAAACTGAGCTGCTTTTGGATTTATGCAGAACAGTGAGAGCAGAAAAAATATTTGTGAAGTATTTTATACCATTTGAAAGTCTGGCTTTATTATAGGACATAGTTTAAAAATTGTTACTGAAGTAAAAAAAAAAAAGAAGTACCACATTTTAATAATATACTGGATGTGAATATTGCTGACTATGCACAGTATAGTGAGACAGCCTGCTTCACAGCTCTGTGTGCACTTTAAAAGGCAAATTCCTTTTTGTAGATGTAGATTCTCCAGTACCTTTAGAGCTTTCGTAGCAGTATGTGCTCTGTTCACCTGCTCCCACTGATTTAGTCTGAGGACAGTGGTTTCAGATGAAAGGCAAAAACTATTTTCAACAATGCCTTAATCAGATCACAGCCCCCCTCCAGTACCTGTGGCTGAAAGGAGCAGAGTCTCTGATTGATTCCCTGCTTGTAACTACCAGGGAGCACAATTTGGAGGTGACGAAGTGAAGGAGACAGGAGAGGAAGATCCTAATGGAGCAGCGGTCGGGCAACAATCAGGGAAGGGTTAGAAATGTGCCGGAACAGACACGTTTCCTTTTGCCTTAGGCTCGTCTGTGCACGTGTCACCTTCCCCTCCGTTGCCCTTATGTACCATTTTGCTTTTTAACCAACACGTTAACTCTTTGACCAAGCTCCCAAAGTCACAAGCTTTAAGCCAAATTCCAGCAAGGAGAAGGAATTAAGTTTTTAAAATGCAGTATTGCTATCCAGCCATTTTGTCGCCTTCCGCCCTGGTCTCCTAGCACAGGAAATTTCAACCTTTCTGCAATCTGTATGCATCTTAATGCCATTTTACCTGATCTGCATTGCAGAAGTCATGCCTGGCTCTGAATGTTGCCTTTTCATTGCTAAAGAGTCTTGGAATCCTCCCAGCTCCTTTAATTCAGATACTGCTGTACCTTCAACAATGAATGTAGGTGGAATAAACATATAAAAATAAAAGAGCCCATGAAGTCTCCTTATTTTAACATCAGTTTATAGGGGTTGAGGGGAGAAATCCTGTCCTAAAAGTCTGCTTCTACAATGGGCAGTACTTAAAGGCAAACTGTTTCCCAGGTGTAGCAGACAAATGGCAAAACAATAAATTTCAAGTGTGCAATGCCCATAAATCTCTGAAGTTTCTCTCTTCTTCCCCATTCTTTCCTGACTCCCAGGGTTTTTTTTCCTCCCTTTGTCTTTCTCTTATCCGTTTCAGCTGCATGTCACCATCTTTTTTTCTTCTGTATCCTTGCCAGTCTCTAGTTTACTTTCCCCCACCAACAATTGCTAGATTTTTTTTTTTTCCTCTTTGACAGGTTTATTTTCCTTCTCAGACTTACTTTCCCAGAAAGCACTCTCATCTTCTTTTCCCCGTATCATCTCTGGTTGACAGCCTCCTGAAACACTTTGCTCCAAGCAAGATATCCTGCCCACAACGCAACAGTTCTGCCATCGCCTCTTACAGCCCTACGTCTGAGTTCACACATCGTCTCTTTGGCACACTAGCTCCTGGCACACTCAAACATCAGCATATTCCAGTCCATAAAACAAAACCAAAGCGCTAAATCACATCTAAGACTTCCTTTGCTACTTCTGTCATTATTACTTGGAACCTCTGTTATTAGGGCACGCTTTAAGACAGATGCCTAGAACACTGCTAAATACAGCAGTTGTTGGGGGGTCAAACTAGGGATATATATCATTGCTGCTGAAGCAAAATATGGGTGCTCAGAACGAAAAGCCACATGTGGATATGAAACTGCAGCCACTACAGGTTTACACTCCCTTACCCGAGTCGTGACCTCTTTTCCGACATGGTCAAGCCCTTCTTGGCAAGGTGGTGAGGCTGTCTGGGGTCCCGCTGGCTCCTCCATCCCCTCCTGCTCCTTCTGTCTTCGAGCTTGGGAACGGTGCAACCCTCGTTCATGCATCGTGGCTTGTCACGACACTTTTCTGGCTTGAAATAGATTATTTCAGGATAGGACGATACTGAAATAATACAGTACGATACAGAAATATTGCGGCCACAGCATAACAAATAGACACACACTGGCACAGTTACCAACAGCCTTTAGCAGGATTTCCCCGAAAAGCAGAGGCTTGCTCAGACCACGCACACAAGGGCACTAGGGTGGAGCGGCTGATCTGAAGATAGCTGCCTTTTGTGGGACCTCACAGTCAGAGGCTTCCAGGAAAATCTCGATAAACAGCCATGTAGTGCAGGGTATAACACTGCTAGTGTTCCTGAATCGGAAGTAACCTACAGTCAGATACACTCGCTCTGTGCACAGACCAGAACGTGGTAGGCGTTTACAGACTGCAGCCAAACCATCTCGTAATATTACAATCGTGATGGTGAATGCAATTTTTAAATTATTTTTTTCCTCATGAAGCATTAATCTTGGAAGTATTCATTTAGGTGCTGAGAAGATTTTAATAGCTACTCGCTTCCTTTGCTTTCTTAGATACCCGTTTTTATATAGCTGATGCTTTTTTATACAAATCAAGATATATAAACTAAGAGTGTCTTCAGATTCAAGGACTGTACTTAATTTCTCTTCCATTTCTCAGACTTTGGTAAACATGTCTCTTTTTTTTCCTCAGTCCAAATTGAATGGATGTTGAGCTAAACTTAGAGGAAAGCGAAGGAAGAAAAAACTTAATTGCTTTGAACAAGAATTATATGAAAAAAAGAGGCTGTAATAAAAAGATTACAGCATCAGAGAGAGGGTGGTAGAGAGTATATAAAAAAAAAAGGTTGGCATTTTTGGTGTGTGTTTTTTGTTTTGTTTTGTTTTTCCCCCCACAAAATGTCTTGCTGTTCCATTTAAAATATGACACAGACCAACCAAACCACACTTCACTCAGGTATGCATATAATAGGTCAGCAGTTAGCTCACTCTCTGACCATAGTTTTCTTATCCATTTTCCTATGTGCATTATTCATTTCTGTTAAACAGCTCCAGCTTTTTATGCACAATCCATCCCTGGTTCTTATCTGTTGCCTCCACATCATAGGAATGTTTGCCTTAGAGATGCCAGAATTTCTAAGTGGTTTATAAAAAGATCCATTTCTAGCATTACCTTTTTTTCGCCTCCTGCAACACTTTTTAGGCTGCCTTGGGTACCTACCAAAGAAA